GAGAAAATGATAGTTTGGCAATGCCAAATTGAACCAAAACTTACAGTGCCAAATTTAAACCAATCTTCAACTAACAGAGTTGGGCAATGCAAAATAAACACCTACATCAAATTTTAAATGAAAATTCAAAGGCATGTTGGAAAACTGCTAATGCAAACTATATAAATTGCAATGGAAAATTGTAGAGTTTGCATTTCACAAATAACTTCAACATATTTGTACACTTTTGTCTTTTAAACAATTGGAAATAGTTTTAGAAGACTTGCTTATCTACTACGAAACTTGTAGCCTGTTCAGACTTCACAGTTTTGAGTTAAGGTTTGCATTACATGTTAAAAATAAGTAAATTTCTAAAAAAAATTCTTAAATATAGAAATGACCAGGATACCACTACAAAATGATTGGTTATTTAAGGAAATTTGAAAATTTGTGGTTATTTTGTTAAAATTCATATCTTTATATGATATTTTTGTCTTTTCTGAAATTAAAACCATACTTTTACAATTTTTTTAATTACATGCAAGAAATGAAAATAGTCCACAATCATTATCGATAATCATATACAATAACTCAATTACAACTAAACAAAAACCATAAATAGTGATTTTTAATACTACTCATATGGAACTTGTTATATAGTTTATGCATCATATCAAATGAACAAAAATTTGGATTGTATAATTTAAAATCCAAATAAATAATACACAAATATAAAACTGAAAACCAAGTGTTTGTAGATGCAAATGTATATCATCATAACAAATAAATCAACTAAATCATAACAAAACACTACTAAGATGTCACAACTTGAGAGAGAGAGAGAGAGAGGGAGAGATACTACAAAACATAACCATTTTCACCTTCTTTTTACCTAAGTGGGTTTGGTTTATAAGTTGAAAAACTTAGTCTGTTTCCCTCAAGCTTTCGCTAGTGAGCCATAGTTTCTTTTGAACAATGAGCACAACATGATCTGTATCGGTTTCATCAGACGACGAATCAGCCGTCGCCACCTGTTCCCAGTGTATTGCAGTTAAATACTTCTTGACGAAGTCAATTACGGGTTTTTTATCACGGATAATTAGGAAACCCGTGGGCCTTAGGATCCGGTCCATTTCGATTAAAAGATCTTCGCCACTGCAGCCTTTCTTTTCGATTATGTCCGAGAATACATCGCTTGCGTGGAGTAGGTCGTATGTTCGTGGGTATGTTGAGTATGCTTCACACCTGAATTAAAAAAAATAGAATGATATTTCTTGCATTTAACCAAATAATATAAAAAAATTGGGAAAGAGAAAATGTGTAGTACCAGTTATGAATGGAACCAAGTAAGCCTCTGTCATAGATAAGTTTCAATGTATTTGGTCCATCTTCAGGGACAACATTCATGACCCAAAGATCTTTGGTTTTCAAAGCAGCTCCAAATGAACCCAAGTTTGCCTTCATATCCATCACATTCCTTATGGTGTTTGCTGTTATTTTTGGACTCAATAGATCCCAGTAGTTCTCAACCCTTTTACGCCACATCTCCTGTTAAAAATATGCAAAATTTTATTTGTTTATTAATTTATGTCAACTTGCCAACACTTTCATTTATTTGTTTATTAATTTATAGAAAAAGATAGAAGGATAATGTTGTGTTGTGTTGTGTGTGTTTACCGTGTCCTTTTCAAACATATCACTTGAATAGCCAAAGTCGGAAAGACGAGGAGGAGGAGAAGTTAGCCTGGCGGGCCATGGTGCCAATCCGCTTCCTTTACTTGAGTGATCATCTGATATGCATAAAATGAACAAAACTTAAATTGTTTGCACAAGCTTAAAATGCAAGAAATACCAATGTACTTTTAAAATGTTTTTATTATAAAACTGTAGTTACCTTTTTTTTCTTGTTACATCATTGTAATTTTAAATTATTTCTTATTAAGACATTGCACTTTGAAAAATCTATCTAGTTATAACAATGGCATAAACCCTCACATTTTACAATTTTTTTTGGAAAAAAAATGATTAAAAGGGCCACATCAGAAAAAATGAAAAAATAAAGGTTTTTTTCAGGCAAAAAATAAATTCGAGATTTAACCCAGAAAAAACACAAAATATAAGGTCTTTTATGAGATTAACCCAATAAAATAAACGAAAAGTACATCACTATTTCTTGCATTTAGCCTTAAGAAGTGATACAAAATAAAATTCATCTCAATTTTCAATTGGATAACTCACCTATTCTAGTTGGGGGGTATTTTGGGAAACTCAGCAAAAAATATAAGCATCTTATCGGTGGATGGGTAATTTCGGTATTTACACTATTTAGCTGTAGCAACAAATTGCTTATAAGAAGGTAGAAGGAAGGAATGTCGAGTATTAGGGTCTTCTTTCGTTCATTTAGTATTGAATATGTTTTTTTTTAAAACATATCTGTTTCATGATTTTAGTTAAACATTAACATCCAAAACTAACTAGATAATATTTTATGGTTTTAAATAGCTTTTACTTATCTTTAATACTTTTAGTTTCATAAGCAATAATATAAGAAACTTACGATCAGAGTAAGGAGTGATGCAAGCTTCCATGTTAACTCCATAAACAGCATCGGGATCATCATTGGATCTACAAAGAGGAGGCTGGGTCCCAGGAGCTCTCTCCATATAACAATCATTAGTCAAAGGTTTGACCCAAATAACAGTCTGATTCCTCTTAGCAGCAATCTTCCAACACATCCTTTCAACAAGTGCACTCATTTCCTTCCAAATCCTAAGATCCTCTTCATCCTGAGCATAAGCTTCAGGAGAGGAGTAAGCAAAATAGCCACCTGGCCTCAACAGCCTGTCTAACTCAAGAAGAAGGATTCCGTCCCTTTGAAGCCAATCGATTCTACAACGAGAACAATGAGCAAGTTCAAAAGATCTTGAGGGGTATGGAAGTCTTTTTGTTCCAAGAACACCGAGGTATGCGGGAATCCCTCTTTCTAAAGCGAATTGGATTTGGTTTTGGTGAACATCGTTTGGTGCTAATGACATTGTCATGATGTCGGATGCAAGAAGGTAACCCCCAAAACTTGCAACACCACATCCCACATCCAAAACTGTTCTTAAGTTTCCTTCGTTGTTCATGTTGTCTTTTGGAAAGTTCAGCATCTGAAAATTAGATTATTTTAATTAGATAAAGAGAATGAAAATAAGTAAAAGGGATGTTTACAAAAATGACTACATGATTTAGGCATTTATCAAAACGATTATTGTGGATTTAATATTTCATTAAATATATAATGTGTACTTTTTTTTTTTCATTTGCACCAAACATTTTTCAAAAACTCTGTCCCAAACAAATGTCACATTGTATGCCCTTGTATTGTATTTATTTCCCATTTGTTATGTTTCATTATCTTTTGGGTTAATCTCATAAAAGACCTTGTATTTTGTGTTTTTTCCGGATTAAACCTCATATTTATTTTTTGCCTGAAAAAGACCTTGTATTTTTTCATTTTTTCCGATCTGGCCCTTTTAGCCATTTTTTCCAAAAAAAATTGTAAAATGTGAGGTTTTTTTCGAGAAAAACTAAAAAAGTTGAGGGTTAATTTGGAAGCATTTAGAAGGTCGAGGGTTTTTTCCAGAAAAAAAAAATACAGAGTTGAGGGCTTTTTTGGAAAAAATGAAAAAATACAAGGTCTTTTTTAGGCAAAAAATTAATTTCAGGTTTAATCCGAAAAAAAGCGCAACATATAAGGTCTTTTAAGAGATTAACCCTTATCTTTTTGTTGGATTTCAGTAAAAAATGAAACATTTTCTCAAAATTCAGGATTTGTTCATCAGATTTCAGACATGTTCTTGAAATTACAGAAAAAAAATTTTGTTTAGAATCCGGAATTTGAGTCCAGACTTCACAAAGTCTGAAATTTACTTTTTTTGTCAGAAAATGTACTTTTAATGTGACATAAAGTTGGTCTGAAAGAATGTTTAAAATTGGCTAATTCCAGACATAATGGTCATTTTTGTAAATATCCCATAAGTTAAACTACTAATCGGTATTAGTTAGTGATTAAAAAGACTTACATTTGCTAGTGATTTGATGTATTTATCAGCTCCATAATGGAAATGAGTTCCTCCACCTGGGAATATGATCTTTTCGCCTTTAACAACCATCCAATTTTGGTCAGATTTTTCTTTTGCAAGGTGAGTGTGTGGAATGTTAGCCTTCCATACTTCATCTCTGCTTTTAGGCCACTTGATGGGGACCTGTGAGGTAAAAATAACAAGATTAATTTTATTTAAAATATGAGAATTAGAAAATGAAAAGAAAATATTAGATTAGATTAGATTAGATGATCACCTTGTATCCTGTTGGAGGAGGAATCAAGCAGTTGAAACGCCTTTCAGGTAAAGGGCAGTGTCTTTCATAGTGCTCCATTAAAGAAAGATCTAATTTTAATCTCATTTGGTAGATGAGGTTTCGATCTAGACAAGGTATCAATTCAGAGTATCGATCATCACAAACCTTCAAGAAACAAAAAAATAACAAATTAAATTAGAAAACATTAAGAAGTAATGAAATGGAATCTGTATAACAAATTAAATAACTTACAGGAAAACTCTTTGGAACAATACCATCTTCATCATCCAACCCAAACTTGAAATCATCTTGCTTGATGCCAAGATCAGATTCTTCATCCCCACCTAAGTATGAGGATCCAAGTTTCCTTAAAGATCTGCTGCCATATTCTAGAGCTGATTCACCTTGACTCTGAGAACCAAAGTACAAATACAGGAAAAGAAGGAAAACTGCTACAAAAAAGAAAGTGGTGAGCAAACGTTTCTTCGATCCATCTGTTCTTCCTCTCATTATGTTTGATGCTTCACAATGTTAATTGGTCTTCACTTTAAATGCAATCTTTATAGATCAAAAGATTGATCCCATAGTTTTGTTAGTGGGTGATGGATACCAGTTGTATAATCTTGTAACTGTTATCAAACTATGATCAATTTGTGGGTTCCCCAAATTTCTTGGAATCAAAGATAATAGACTATTCCAGATGCCAGATTTATAGTCCGAGCAACCTGTTATGTAAAAAGAGAAAACATATCAGTATCTTTAAACAAAGCACTTGAACTGAGGAAATAAATTTGTAAGAAGAAACATCTCAAATAAGCCACATTTTTAAGTCGAGAGCCTCCAAAGCTAGCACAATTCTCGTTTAAAAGATTACAGATATGTTAAAGATGATTATAGAAATACAAAAAGAAGCATTAAGCAAAGACAAAGCTTGATAAATACAGCTACTAAGCAAAGGATATAACTTAAACAAATGGCACATCATGAGGTAAAGCTAAAGGAAGAAATTAATGTTGTTTAGTGGGAAGGGGAACACAAAGGTGGTTGAAGATCACATTGATGACATGAAACAGTGCAAACTGCAAAGTATTCTTTCTATTTAGATTACCATGAAAGCTTTTTTACCTTTCTGGTAAAGGTAAAAGTAAATCAAGTTAACATTTCAGTAATTTCTTATTGAACTTATCTAAAGCATTAAACACGTGAAAATAATTTTTTTTTTAAAAGTTGATACTGGGTTATTCAAGGCTGGTCATGACAATTCCATATTTCTTCAACTACTTATACGACACTTCATTTTCTTTACTTCCCCAAACATCAAAATTGAGATCCCCTCATAATTAACTTCAGTTGTCAAGCATATTGATCATAAATGTCATCAATGAGAATCATAACTTCCAGATCTGATCAAGAAGATACTATAAGTATACTAACTCATTTGTAGTTCCAAATATGTCGAAATCTCTCACATTCACAAACATAAAGGAAGTTATATTTTGCTTATATGTAATACCTAAACAGATGACAGTTACTCAACAAACTCATTACATGTTTATACTTCATCCACATTAGATAATGTTAAACATACAGTGAATCATATACTCCGAGAGACATTCACACCAGGATTAATGTACTCCTTGCAAATGTTAAACAAATTTGGTACTTCGTTCCAGAGCAGTATTTAATTAGCATTGTTTCAGGCTACAATCCGGTAGTGAGACAGAAACATTGTTGACCCCAATTCAAAATCACAAACTGTAAAAATAATTACAGCAAATACAATGCTAACGCTATTTTCATCATAACACAACATTCAAAATCATATTGTTCCAAATATCCTTTGTAGTGTGATTTCTTCGTCAAATCTAACTATAGAATTCAAAACGAATCGATCTGATCTATAGAATTAAACCATATCATACGCGAAAACAAACAAACATCACGAAATTAATGAAGACAAAAGTGATAAATTGCGATCCGAAATCAGATCTAACAACTAAGCAAATCAAAAGAGAAAGGATTTGAACTTACTGGCGTCCAGATAATGGATCTAAGCTCCGAATTTCTATCGAAATGTTGAATTTGTAGATAGTGAGTGGAAATTGGATGCCTATAAACAGAATAAAAGGGGGAGAGTGGGGGTAGATCTGAGAGTTTGACAGTGAAGACGCACAGCACTGTTGGCACGCGGTTGTTTATAATTTCATATTTTATATTTTTATGTACCTTTTGACCCCTTGTACTATGAATATATTCCATTTATAGCCCCTTGTTTTCAGTATTTATATCAATAAGGTCCAGCATGCAAAGCTAAAAGCATGGGCAACATGTCGGTGTGAGGAAAGTGGATTTCGCTTTCATAGGGTAGATCACATTTATACCCTCCCATGTGACTAAGTTTTAAAAGGACCCAAGTAGTTTGATTTATTTGCCCATATACCCTTTACACTTTGAAGAGCCACAAACGATTTTGAGATTCTTGACAGGTATGTCGTGTTGTGGTATGTATAAGGTAACCTTAAATATGTGTCATAACACATAACACATAACACATAGGAAATAAGTTGATCTAATTGATTAGTATCTACAAGTTAAATTCCAAAATAAAGTCATTCTTTGTCCATTGTCTTCACTAGAAAATAAATTTATGGCATTGATTTGAATTTATAAAATGTTTATGACTTTATGTAAAAATATGTTTTAGATATTTAATAAAATAATTTATTATGTATATTTAGAACATGTGTTAAGTCAATACTAACCGACGAACACAAGCGCTACGGGCCACTCTTCAAAATGCAATATGTGGATGGACTAGATCTTCAATAAATATATTGTTCATTGTTTAACGTTATAACGTTAGACTAGATTTTAATAATATTGGAAATTCAATGATTTCATCGACAACAATCAAGAAATGTTGAAGTCTATTTTGTTAGCATTTATCTCCTTGTCTTGTATTTATATATTCGAATAAAATAGAAATGTAACAGTTTTACAAAAAGTGTTATTCTATCGTTTTAATTTGGTCTTAACGTTTCTAAATATAAATATACCGAATAAGGTTTTATATAACTGAGCTAGGTTATTCCCTTTTGTTTACCAGTAAACAAAATGAAATTTCAATTTATAATGTTTATTTGGATGAAATAGATATGGATTATGTTGGTTTCGTTAATACATCTTGCAAAAAAATAAATAATTAGTATATAATCATATTGGTTGACTGAAGCTCGTGTTTGACACGATTCTCTTAAACAGATTGGCCGTATGTTTCCATAATACAACAGCCGAAGCAGTATGTATTGCTGGATCTGTCCACTTGCATGAAAAGATCGTCGAAAATTGTATGAAGAGAGAATGAGAAGAGAATAGTCGATGTCGTGTATTAGAATGAGAAGAAAATGTCTCTTTGTATGTAGGTCTTTGTAACTGTACTCATTAATTTGAAATTAATAAATTAATTATGCATTAATTCATCTTAAATGCATCAGTTACAAAAATTATTCCAGGGTCAAAGACTATAAAGTTTAGCAAAAAAAAAATGGCTTATGCGAGACTGGAATTTCAGAGCTGCATTCATGTGCGCAGGTAGTTCGTTACATTTTGTCCACAAAATCCATGATTTGCACCCCAACCCTTGCTCATGTGTGTGCATAGGTGTTGGAGTAAAATTTTATATAGAAGCTTGTAAACTCATTACACATCTATGTTTATAAACCCACCAATAGTTTGTTCTTTTGTCCTATGTGGGACACATTCTTACACCCACTTTATTTGTTAACTTATTTCCAAAATACTCATCTTTGAATATCGATATCTCATTCACACATTTTTTCCGTTTTGAACACAACATATGTCGTTTCGAAGCTCTCACGGAGGAGAACATAACTTACTAAGGGCTAATAAAATATACAATATATATATATATATATATATATGTGTGTGTGTGTGTGTGTGTGTGTGTGTGTGTGTGTGTGTGTGTG